CTATTCGTATTCGAAAAAATCTTTATATGGTCTTATTCGAATCCGAAAATAATTAGGGACTCACTATTCGTATTCGATATTCGAATATTCGAAAAATATTCGAAATTCTTGGCGGAATTTTCGTTCTCGTGAAATTCTTGGCTGACGCCCCATTAAATCTCGCGCGATGCTGCTCCTTCTTAATTCACGACTCAAGCGGGTGGACTTTTGTTTTTCTTCTAGTCTTTTCCGACACGACCGACATAAGAGACCATTTCTATTGGAGTCTTGGCTTTTGAGGTAGAATGTTACATCGTAGAACACACCTATAAGGTGTTACCAATTGTTCAATGCGTTGATTAAACACACGATCCTGTGCCCAGGCGAGGAATAGTAGATGGTATTATCTCCAGAGACCGTACAAGGGCTCCCGCTATTGCAACACACGGCGTTTCTTTATCTAGCCAAGGATATCTAAGATACCCAAGGCGTAACCCGGCTTTATCAAGCCTTTCCTCTACGGATCGTCCATGCCTACGAAATCCCGCATATTGCTTGTGCTATAGGGCTATAGGGGTGATATAGGGCGTAAGATAGCGTCATATGGCGTGATTGGACTAGAAGTTACAAAGGTACTACCTGATCTCCGTAAGGCTGGAGATAACAAAGCGCGACATCATACTTAACAAGGCACGGTGTACACAGCCTGCATAGGTATCCTTGTCAGGCGCCTCAAACTACCCCGACACACTAGGACAGTATTTGAATTTATCCAAAGATTTTGCTAGTTCAGGGAGAACCGGTGACACTATTTTTGGATCGCACGACCACCTTCCATGCTTGTGCTAGGGTTGATATTTGGACGCTCCCCGGCTTCCCCGATTCGGTCTTCCGCATGTGAGCATGTGATTCGTACGCGGGCAGCAGGGATCTAAATCCCTTACATAAGTCGTGTATATGCATCACTTGGCGGCAATAATTGCTTCAGTTAGCGCTTTGTAGGGGTAGTAGGGGCCATGTCCTTCCTTAGTCGGTCCGCTAACAGGTTCCTTATCTCGTTGCCATTGTATTACCGCTGTTTCTGTACAGTAAGATACATGTATGTAAATACATGATACGCTGTGTCCAGGTTTTTACGACGATTCGGCCTGCGGTTAGGATAATATAAGTTCCCCTCCAGGTATCTGAGATTGCCCGCAAGCATCTACAAGGCAAACGGTGTCCATGGACTCAATTAGCATTGGCGACGAGGCAATTGCCTTCGAAAACTTTTTGGTTGCCGGTGACGGCAAAGGTAGGTAGACTCTACTACTAGTATGCACCGGTTATACTGATTGAGATGATCACAACAGTCCCGGCAAAGGTTTCCTGTCGATGGCGATTTGAGCCGGCAAGGAAGGCACGATGCTATTTTCATAGTCTTGACCTGTTATTGAGCATTGCTCCTACCTCAAATGCCGAGGATCCTAGCATCCCGTCTGCCACGGGCACCGCCCTCGAGCACCTTGTCCGCTCAGTTCGAGACTCCACCGACAAAGTCGAGGTGCAAACAAAGGCGACCCTGGTCCCTCGTCCTGGGTTCCTCTGTAGGAGCGATATCCTCGACCTGAGATTGCGGGATTCCGACTATGTAGACTCGGTCGTTCGGTTCTCAACTCCCGAAAGTGGCTTTTTACCGATTCCAGCTCAGGGGCACGACTCTCTTCTGACCCTGTTGCTTTCGTCTCCCGGGGCATTTATTTTAAAAAAATCTCCAATGTTGACGTTGGAGCTGCTAGAGGAAGATTTGAACGCCCGATTGTCTTTTGACTGGATACTTCCAACTAACGTAAACCACAAGCGAGTCGCGGATCTGAGCGAGCCGCGGATTTGTATTCCCATACAAAATGGCACTTTTTAACTTGGGGTATCTCAGCCATACCTCTATTCTAATAAAATATATTGAAGACCTGAAGTATTATATAGGTAAGTAGTATAATATTTCTTTTATATAACAAAGAAACCTATGGGAGTCTCAAATACATAAGCAGCTTTATAATACAGTGTAATTTATAATACCTGGATAATTAGTCCAAATAATAGATTAAAATCCAGTATATTATCATTAAATAGTTTCATATAATCCTAGTTTTTAATAATATTTTATGCGATATAGAAATGGCTGGGATACTCCAAGTTAAAAAGTGCCATTTTGTATGGGAATACAAATCCGCGGCTCGCTCAGATCCGCGACTCGCTTGTGGTTTACGTTAAACCACCCCGGCGCAAAATCGCCATGGTGGGAGGGCGTCCGGCGTTCAACATCTTGAAAGGGTCATTTGGCCATCAAGGAGCATACGAGGCTACGAAAGCTCTGGACATCTCTATGGTTATCGTTGATCACCCGGGGCATTGGCTTCAAGACGGGGCGTATTCTTACATACGCGATGACTTCATCGCCATTGATGTTACCGACGACGCGGGGCTCCCAGGGAGAATCGCCGAGGTGTTGAGAGGTAAAGGGTTCGACGGCCTCCTCACATTGTCAGACGAGTTTGTTCTGCCAACTGTAAAAGCGGCAGAAATATTAGGCCTCCCTACTGAGCCTACAGCATCATATCTCCAGGCCCATAACAAGTACGCGGCACAGCAATTACTCAGCTCTAACATCCAGAATTTACTTGTGAACGGTGCAGCACAACTGGATGACCCTCCTATAGCCGCGCAGCTCCGGACTTTCCAGTACCCTTTGATTGTCAAACCATGCCGAGGCGGCGGTTCTCGAGGCGTTAAGAAAGTCAAGGATCCTTCAAGTCTCCGTCAAGCGGTACAAACTCTAGAAGAGACTGGATACTCAAACTACGGGATTCTAATTGAAACCTACGTTGATGGTCCTGAGGTAGATGCCAACTTCGTTCTCTGGGAAGGGGGCCTCCTCTTCTGTGAGAAATCGGATAATTTCCCATGCCAAGCAGACGCAACAGACGCTTCAGTTTCCGACAATTTCGCGGAGACCGTGATGATCCTGCCCAGTCGACTGGACCCCAACGAGATACAGACCATTAAATCGTCCCTACATCAAGGTCTACTTAAGCTGGGATTCCGCTCCGGCGTCTTTCATCTCGAAGCCCGGGTGCAAAACTCCTCGATGCGTTATCAGGAGACCGACGGCGTCGTCGAGCTTACCCACACAGGGCTGACTACGAGCTGCCAGCCAGAGGTAGTTCTAATTGAAGTCAATGCTCGGCCACCTGGTCTGCAGGCCGTTTTTGCGGTTGCCTACACCTTCGGGGTGGACTACAGTGCCCTCCAAATCCTCCGGGCTCTCGACGATCGCGAGCGCTTCACTGCTCTAGCGCAACCTTTCGCCAATAATGCCCAGTACCACTGTGAGATCTTCTTTATTCCTGTCCATCGCGAAAATTTTCGAGTTCCCGAAGACTTTTGCGAGCAGGTACTGTACCAACTACCGGCAATTGCGCCGCACGTGACTCGAGCTGAACGGACTGCGTTGAGGGAGGTAGTGTCACCAGTAGGGGGCACTGGGTTTATTGCTTATTTTCTGGTTTGGTCGAGAACTAGCAGAAAGGAAGTGTTGGAGATAGGTGAACGTATTCAGGAAGTATCGAGAAGGGTATTGGACGATGATTAGTCAATTCGTGTCCTGACCATACAGTTTTGATAATTACTTTTAATATGAAGTTATGGTCCGTTACAGTATTTTTCAATAATTCGGAGCAAGCCTCCCGTCATACTACTAAAGCTGAATTCCCTGGATGGATCTTCATCCCGCCTCCAACCGTTTAGATCATATTGCTGCATCCAACATCATCCACCGAAAAATTATCCCAAACATGGAAGAATCCCTGGTTATCTCCAAGTTTGACCGTCTCGTCGAATCCGGCCTCGTCCTCTACGACGACAAACAACAGATCATCGAGCATATTGACGGCGACCTGAAAGTAAGAATAGCTCCTTCAACCATTAGTCGAACCATGCACCTACTTACCCCATTCAAGTTTCATTTCGTTCTCACCTCTGCTCTTGCTAAAAAGCCTACCCTCACTACCTCCCAGCCCCAGCCCGAAACCGCCAATCGAGAGCCCGAAAAGCGAGAAGGTAGCGATATCAGTACCGCCGGGTTCGAAATTGACGAGACAGACACCCACTGTGTAATCGCAAACAAGTTCTGTTTCGCGCGGCCTCATCTCATGCTTCTGACCGGTGACGGACGCCGACGACAGTACGAGCCGCTCGACGAGGCCGATCTGCACGTTGCATGGCAAATCCTGAACGCTGCAGAAAAGGATTACGTTGCTTTTTATAACTGCGGAAGCGATGGCGGATGTAGTCGGCTGCACAAACATCTGCAGGTGATGCCCTTACCGGCGAACAGTTTCGCGGCGTTTCTAGATTCTTCCAAGGGGGAGATGCCCGAGACCAAGGTTCCATTTGAGTGGTTCTTTCAGCGGTTTGAAGAGGATGTGATACTGACATCCTCTGCGTTGGTTGGAGTTTATAATGACCTGCTAGATCACACTACGCGAGTCGGCGAGGGCCGCGCTGAGCATGCGGCGAGTGCGCCGTCCGGGGCTGCCTGTCCGCATAATATGATTCTTACCAAGAGGTGGATGATTGTGTTGCCGAGACGACGGGGTGCGATTAATAAGGAGGCCGGGGTGAATTCGTTGGGTATGCTGGGGGTGATCGCCGTGGCTACGACGAAGGAAGTTGATAACTGGGTCAGATTAGGGCTGACGGAGTCTCTGGCGGAGCTGGGAGTACCTAAGGGCATGTAAATGTCGAAGCCTTGGGCATTGTAATGGGGGACTTGAACCATGTTTTACCATTTCTCAGTAGAAGCATAGATCAGATAAGGTAAGCTTAGCCATGTCATTCTAACATGCTATATCAGGTGACTATTCCAAGCCCCAATGCTCACTTGAAGTGCCGAAACGCCTGCCGCAGGGCGCGAGCATATCGTTATAGGAAATGTAGAACGCTTCCCTTGCCTCCTTGTTATCATGAGTATAAAGGAAGGGTTATATAGAGTGGTAATCATAATACGGACCAAACCATTGGCTTTGAGGGAAGGCGACAACTATCCAAGTAACATATAAAACAGTAGAACTCAAATCTCTGCCTTATATTATCGATAAAGTGGGGAGATTACAACCTATTCTTAGCTGAAACAACGTCATTTATATGGGTTCTCGCAATATGTGGAGGACGGGCCGGTTTAATTTCGGGGCCGCTTATCTTAGCAAAAGTGGAGTGACTCACTACCTTTTCTATACCGTAGACAACTACTTCTCTGAGTTGAACAACATCATCTCTAATACTTTAGATATCGGCTGATCTAAAACTAAGCTCTTCGGTTCTCCAATTTCAGAAATTCCACAAAATCTCGGCGATTATGTCCATACGTAGGTGCTCGTCATGTTCTCCTACCATACTCACTATTAATGTAATAATAGCGGCATCTATCCACTTAACTGGGCGCTCGCTCCCCAAGGCATACTCAAGGCTCGCTCTCCAGTGTAAAAGCTTATACTCCTCAGCTATACACCACCGCTAGTATCGACAAAAGGGCTGTCCCGCCTTTAAGACCTGCAATAGCGGCCATTCCAATATTCTCCGCTACTTCTTCACCATTATGGGCTGGCCAGCCCGATGCTCAAATTGTCAGTTCTACTCACAGTGAAGACGGGGCAACAATAACGCAGAAAATGGATGTCAAAAAAAGAAAAACATACAACAGCCGGGATTCGCTGGCCGACGTGTGGCTTAAGTACGGCTGAGCGGACGGGAAGCCCTGTTCTCCACACCCTGTGGTCGTATGTATGAGACATAAGAAGATAGTGGACTATATGGTACCTTTGTCTGAGCTGTGGATCGAACGACTGTGTCTAGGAACGAGGGTGGATGAAGGCGACGTAGAGGCTGTGTGAATAACAGCCGGTAATGGAGTTTAAGAGAGATTTTAGTATGCTGTTGATAATTTGAGTAAGTAGAGACGCTATAGATTCCAGTAGGAGCGCTGTTTATTCGCGTGACTGATTGGACTGGATCTGTTACTGGATATATTGCACTAGTTGGCCCGAATATAAACGATGTAGGAGACCACAGATCCAGATGTTAAAATGCTACTTTTAGACATGATATGCAAGTCCTCCCCGATAGCCGTAGTGATGGAGACGGGAAAGGCGAGATGTATGGTTGACAGGCCGGCGAAGCTTTAGAGGAGATCGGCGCAGGGAACAAGTAGTAGGGTACCATTGGAGTTGAGGTCGAAGATGATCGGGCAGGTGTTACAGTTGTTCACAGCATAGATATAATGGAGACGACAGCTTTCGAAGAAGCAGTATTGCCACGTTAAAATACAGCTTCGATAAATGTAGATTAGTTACGTAGAAAGCTTTGAGACAAGGGAGGTTTCATATGGTTTAGGCAGGACTATAGTTTTATCCCGATTTTCGTCTACTCCTTTGCCAGGTACATCGAGTGTCTCAGTTCTCAAATTGAGACCGATATTGTCACGGACTGTGACCAGCCTCCGAAGACCTTCCTTCGTGATATTATGACCTAACTACCCGATCGGGACTAGCTTCACAACCTAGCTTAGTTTCTTCGTTGAATGCATACCCTACATTCTCGCGATTCCTTATCGCCTGCGTAGCCGTTCGTTACATAGATATGAGTATTCGAAAGAGCTCTTGTAAATTTATTCTAAGCACGGTGCTTAGAATCCTGGTTGCATCCGACCAGTTAATTAGTTAGTTATTTTACGGCCGGGTCTGCCTTATCTTAGGCACGTATAACGCATTTCGAATTTGGGCCACTTTCCCACTGCTCAACGGGATCCTAATTGTTCCTCTACCAGTGATCTCGATGGATTTTCCAGCAGTTTCTAGACTGCCTCCATATCTCTGATCTAGAGACTCGAATAAATCGATCTTCCCGCTGCAGGCACTCGTTGCTCCGTTGTCGATTATAGGGTCCTCGTTTCTCTTTACCCGGTACGCTCTCTCGGGTTCTTCAAGCAGATATTCGTGTCGATCACTGATTTGTTCTTTTAATTCGACTCGGTAAGCATTCTCGACTGCTAGATATGCCTTTTATTTGTAGGTTCGGTAGTTGCCTCTTTAGTAGGCTCGATGGGCGCTATCTCTAGTAGAACTTCTGAAACTAGCGCTCGAATTGCTATCAGACTCGGATTCTTCGTCTGCTATACGAGCTTTGCCTCTCTGGCGGCCTTTATATCTTGTTCGGCCCTTATCTCTGCCTGGTCTTCTGAGGTCTTGTCGCGAATCTCTGCTATATCGATCCCTTCGGCTATTCCTTTCCTCTGGCTCTCTCTTCTTCTTAGGGGCTCTGCAGTCTCTCGCAAAATGGCCTATCTTGCCACAATTGAAACATTCCCGACTGTGCTTTATCCGATTTGCAGATTTCTCAGCTTCTTCAGTGATACTGATTCTCAGCTGTGACTCCTTCTGCTGCAGTCTCGATAGGATCAATCCTCGTTCAAACGTGCTATTGTTGAATAGGGAGTCTCTCATTGTCTTATACTCCTCGGGCAATCCGTTCAGAAACGTAACGAGTATAATTAACTCTTCGAACTTATATTTCTGGTCGCTAACCTCAGATAGATCAGCGTTCAACTGCTCCAGTTGTTGGAGGGATATCTCAATACTATCCTTAGGGTCTTTCTTCCATTGCGTAATCCTCTGAGCTAATATGACAGTATCATGCTCAGTTTTCCGCTCATATCGACCCATCAGATGTCTCCAGACTGCTCCCGAGTTGTTCAGATCACGAACTGCTGCTTTGTCCTCTTGTTGGATGTTTCGCTTGATATAGATCCTTGCTGTTGCATCTTGGGAGGCCCATAAGGGCTTGTCCAGTAGATTCTGTAACTCTCCTGGCTTGTCTTGCCTCTTCAGAGTCTGCTCTACTACCTCCCATACTCCTTGTGATTCACAAAATTCCTGCACGTCTGATTTCCATGTTCTGACATTCTGCTTCGTCAAATTCGGTATGTCAAATGGTAATAACTTGATCGGTTTTGCCTCTTTAGGCTCAGGAATAGGAGTTGCCATTCTGCCTGCTAGTTCTGCTTGCAGTTGCTCGCTAGGATCTTCTATCGCGATGCCACTAGCGCTTCGGATTATCTCTTCCGGTACGGTATTCTCGATTGTCTCGCTTGTATCGTTTCTCTTGAGCGTCTCGGGCGTCTCAATCGGCTCAGTTTCTTTGACCGTTTCAGTCGGTTCAGTCGTCTCTATCGGATCGTCGAATGTTCCGGGAATGTTCGGTCTCGCTAGGTCTTCTGTACTCTCTCGGCTCGATACGTATCTCCCAGTCTGTGGGTCTCGTTGTCGCCGGGCCGGTCGCATTCGTCGTGTTCGGCTCTAGAGACGTAGTTTTTTGATAGCCTAATCCGGGATAGGTAGGCAGGGTGTACGGGCCTGGCCACCTTCGCAAGATCGAGGATCAACACGCCGCGTACAGTGTTGTTCTGCTGAATTGGCTGGAACGATTAGTTTTCAGGCAATCTTTCGAGGTGCTAGGTCTGCTGGTTAGGCTAGACGTAGCAGTTCGGGCTCATAACCTATATTATGAAATGCACAGGGGAAGGAGGGCAGAATGACACTGTATCGGCTACACGCACGTAGCCTACTAAGGAGCGAATG